TTCAAGATTTTTAGATTCAAAACTTCCAGGCATTCCTCTGTTCATTTCAAGATTTTTAGATTCAAAACTTCCAAGCATTCCTCTGTTCACTTCAAGATTTTTAGTTTCAAAACTTTCGGGCATTCCTCTGTTAATTTCAAGATTTTTAGATTCAAAACTTCCACGCATTCCTCTGTTTATTTCAAGATTTTTAGATTCAATACTTCCAGGCATTCCTCTGTTCATTTCAAGATTTTTAGATTCAAAACTTCCAGGCATTCCTCTGTTAATTTCAAGATTTTTAGATTCAAAACTTCTAGGCATTCCTCTGTTCATTTCAAGATTTTTAGATTCAAAACTTCCAGGCATTCCTCTGTTCATTTCATGATTTTTAGATTCAAAACTTCCAGACATTCCTCTGTTCATTTCTATTTTCCTATTTCCAGGGATTCCATTAATAATTCCTATATTTTTAAATAGAAAACTGCCAGGGAATTCTTTTTCGTTTTCATACTTTCCGTTAATAATCTCGGATTTTTTAGGCTGAACATATATGAAATAGAAAATTAAATACAAAATACCAAATCATCCATTTATAAACGTATTTCATAAATATCGTACATAAAACAATTAAAAATATTATTAATTCAAAGTAAAATTATATTACTGTTTTTTTTTAATGAAACTTACTTTCTTGAAGGTATCAAAAAATAAGTTGAATTCTAATGATGTTTCAGCTGAGTTTTCTTTGAAAAATCGTTTCTAAAGAATATTTAAAATCAAAAATGTTTTACAGAAATAAAGAATTATTACCTTTTTTTGCATTGAATTTTCCTGTCTCGGGTTGGTAGCACTTAGTAAAAAAAGTAAATTAGTGTTTAAACGGTTTTCAGATATGAAAATGATTTCCAGAGCAGAATGTTGCTAAAAAATATTTTTTTTTGTAAATAATTATCATATGATATTCTTCATAAAAAGGGGGGGGGGAGGGGGTCGTAAACGAAAATAAATTTTGATCGACAATAATCGGATGTCATTTAAAAATTGTTTTTCCTGTTCTCTAGTCACTGCATTTCTATTTTTATATTATTCATTTTTCTAACAAGCATATCTGCAGGTTCAATAAATTGTATATTTCCAGCAACCATATCTGCGGGTTCAATAAATTGTATATTTCTAGCAACCATATCTGCAGGTTCAATAAATTGTATATTTCTAGTAACCATATCTGCAGGTTCAATAAATTGTATATTTCTAGCAACTACAGTAATGTTTGATATCCATTTCTTTCACGTTTGGAAAAAAAAGCAAAAACCGTAGCAACATTCTTTAACAAAAAGAAAGAATTCCTTGTGATAAAATATACTAGGTGTCCCAAAAACCATGACTAGAATTTTCAACCCAATTTTCGGAAGACGTCACATGATGTTCCTGGAAAATCTAGAATATTTTATGTCCAATAAATGAATATTTGATGTCCAATAAACGAATATTTGATGTCCAATAAATGAATATTTTATGTCCAACATATGAATATTTTATGTCCAATAAATGAATATTTATATTCCACCAATTAAATATCAATATTCCTTGAATACATGTAAAACAGCATGTAAACAAAGTGTTCAACAATTACAAGTGGTACAGTGGCCGTGGATAAATAAGGATAAGTTTGTCATTGTAGATCAGTAGAACGTGTAAAGGGTACGCTTACAGTCCCTTTAAAAGGAGAGTCCGGCTATGCCACATATTTTAACTGAAAATGCAGTATTGTAAAGAACATTAACCCTATTCCTGCTGGGGGGGGGGGTCAATTTGACCCCCCCCCTGTAGTTTTTTTTACATAACTCAAAAAGTATTGGTCTGAGCCTGTTGAAATTTTCTGACTTTTCTTACATACCCAAAGCGCTCCCTTTAGTTTTTAGTCCTAAAGTTTTTCTCTGCAATACCGCAATTTCAGTCCAAATACGTTACATAGCCGGTCTCTCCCTTTAAGTGCCAATCTTTGTGGCTAACCCTGTAAATCGGATTTGCTTTAACCTGAGAGAAAAAAAGAATAGCTGCCCGAGCACAATATTAAATTGTAAATATGTCAGTACATACATTGTCAACCAAGAAAATCAACTAAATACAAAATATTCAGATTTTGTTTTGTTTCACAAATTTGGTAAAACTTATAAACACAAAATATTTTCTTTTACTTTGTTTTAAATTTGATGATTTAATGAATGCTTCTAGTCGACATTTTATTGATCAAGGAAACTATTAGACAAAAGTGTAAAATTTCTTCAAAACAAAGATGGAGTTTTTGCTTCTGCAAGATCAGTGTACTTTCCGGTTCATTTCAAGTGCCAGGCCAGAGATAAGAGAGTTACAGAGATCGTTTAACACCTACAATATGCTATATTTTCCACAGCATGTTCTATTGTGTACAAGTACTGTACACGACCAATCAGCAAACATCTGTATTCAGGAATATTTAAAGATCCTTTAAATAGGAAATGCAAAGTCTTTAAAAATAGACAATATTCATAAACGTTATGTTTTATGTTTAAAATTGGAGTATTTCTCTAAAAATGTAAAACTTAACCCCTGAATGCAACAAGTGGCCGTGAGATGTCAGTTAAAAAACATTACATGGAACCGTAGCATGGTGTGCCGGGACACTATAGGCCTGCTCAGCCTATCCAGGTAGAGTGTATGAGCAGTCTGTGTAGTCTGTGTGCCGGGCCGAATGTTTAGCAAGCTGTACAGTACACTCACACATACAAAATATATATGGCAAAACAGGATAGAACACCAAATGAATCAGCGTGTTCGTTTAGTGAGATTTTAGTGAAATAACAGCGTAAAGAGCTTTAAAATTCGATAACAAATTGTTTCCATCAATACGTGTTTTTTTCTATTTCAGAAATATTCCAACGCTCGGCAAAAAACGATCTCTCACGCAACGTCAGATCGTTAATCAATGAAGATACCATCTATTCTTCATGTCTAGAAATTAGTTAGTTTTAGTAATGGAGGATGTCAAAGTCTACTACAGTATTTTTTTCAAAAAGATTTTTTTGCCCCTTGGACATGATTGGCTTGTAACGATAAAATCTCGAAATTTTTCAATTGAGAAAGTTTGGTGTTTGCACTCTATTATTCTCAGGCCTAAGGGCTTCTTAGGCCTGAGAATAATAAAGTGCAGGAATCTTCTGATATACTGGAATGAGGCCCGGGTACCATGCAGACAGGAAACATCACACTCGTTGCTCTCAATCATTTGTAAGACCTGATTGGATACCCCCAGGTACCTATAGCTGGCAACCATAGATTCTCCCTGCTTATCCACCACTCCTCTCTTCATCATCATTCACTTGGATCAATCCACATAAAGCTTCTTTCTTGTTGAGTAGAAAGAACGCACACTTTCGCTGCGAGAGTTGTTGACATCCGCCCCTCTGTCCTCCTACATCCGTTAGGTGGTCATAACTGCTTAACCAGATGTCGGCTTTAAATGTCCTGGAGTACAGGAATCGAACCGGCGAACACAAGTCTGGACACCATTCCAGTTACTGGCTGTGGACAAGTGTGCTTAACTTCTAACGAGAACTGCTGTCACAAACTCTCCACCACACTCCACAAAGTCTACTACAGTCAACAAGAATGGGTTCACACTCTTTGCTAATGGTAGATGTCAAAGTCTACTACAGTCAACGAGTATGGGTTCACACCCTTTCCTATTGGTGGATGTCAAAGTCTACTACAGTCAACAAGAATGGGTTCACACTCTTTGCTAATGGTGGATGTCAAAGCCTACTACAGTCAACAAAAATACATTGCTAAGTTTGCCGATCAATATGCATTTATAAGTTCAATGAATTCATTCCTGAAAATGTTTTGATTATTTGAGTGCTGACTAAGTATTTACTTGTAAATGCAAAAGGAATGTAAACTCAGTTGAGATTTCAATATGAATTATAGTCTCCGATCAGAACAAAATTATCAAACATTATATTTTCAATTGGCTCATATTAAATTTTCTTTTGTGTTTTATTTTAAGCTGAACCATAATACATTATTATTTTGTATTTTGTGTTTGAAAATAAATAATATAACTAAATAACTGTAAATAACCATAGTAAAGGGAAATTTTACTTTCAAAATTGTTGCCCAAAAAGATGCTCATTTTTTCCTTGTATTTCTCTAAAGATAACATTTTTGCAAAGTTTGCTAAAACAATTTAAAGTCTTAACTAAATTTCCAAATTTATTGGAACACCCTGTAGAACAGTTGTATTATTGTATTCTCATGTTTATTGGGACACCCTGTAGAGGATCTGAGGTGCAGGTAGAACAGTTGTATTATTGTATTCTCATGTTTATTGGGACACCATCTAGAGGATCTGAGGTGCAGGTAGAAAAGTTGTATTATTGTATTCTCATGTTTATTGGGACACCCTGTAGAGGATCTGAGGTGCAGGTAGAACAGTTGTATTATTGTATTCTCATGTTTACTGGGACACCCTGTAGAGGATTTGAGGAACAGGTAGAAAAGTTGTATTATTGTATTCTCATGTTTATTGGGACACCCTGTAGAGGATCTGGGGTGCTGGTAGAACAGTTGTATTATTGTATTATCATGTTTATTGGGACACCCTGTAGAGGATCTGAGGTGCAGGTAGAAAAGTTGTATTATTGAATTCTCATGTTTATTGGAACACCCTGTAGAGGATCTGGGGTGCTGGTAGAACAGTTGTATTATTGTATTATCATGTTTATTGGAACACCCTGTAGAGGATCTGAGGTGCAGGTAGAAAAGTTGTATTATTGTATTATCATGTTTATTGGGACACCCTGTAGAGGATCTGAGGTGCAGGTAGAAAAGTTGTATTATTGTATTATCATGTTTATTGGGACACCCTGTAGAGGATCTGAGGTGCAGGTAGAAAAGTTGTATTATTGTATTCTCATGTTTATTGGGTCACCCTGTAGAGGATCTGAGGTGCAGGTAGAAAAGTTGTGTTATTGTATTGATACATTGTCAGATTTTACTCGGCCACTCACCACTCACCTGCAGCCTCCAGGTTTGTTACATCTGATTCACTGTCATGTATGAAATAAAATAGTTTACACACAAATTAAGATATGTTAATTACTCCTTATAAACTGAAACATTGCAATATTAAAATAAACATGTCCAAGGCTACAAAAAAGTTTAGCTACTAAAAGCATATTAAAAAGTTTAAACGCTAAATTTGCTACTAAAAACATGTAATGAAATTTAAACGCTAAATGTGCTACGAAAAACATATGATAAAGTTTAAACGCTAAATTTGCTACTAAAAACATATGATAACATTTAAACGCTAAATTTGCTACTAAAAACATATGATAACATTTAAACGCTAAATTTAAAAGCATATAATAACATTTAAACGCTAAATTTGCAACTAAAAGCATATGATAACATTTAAGCGCTAAATTTGCTACTAAAAACATATGATAACATTTAAACGCTAAATTTGCTACTAAAAGCATATGATAACATTTTTAAATGCTAAATTTGCTACTAAAAGAATATGATAACATTTAAACGCTAAATTTGCTACTAAAAACATATGATAAAATTTAAAGGCTAAATTTGCTACTAAAAACATATGATAACATTTAAACGCTAAATTTGCTACTAAAAACATATGATAACATTTAAATGCAAAATTTACTACTAAAAACGACAATATCTTAATTGAAGGTTTAAAGGGTGGATTTATGAATCGTACAGAATCGGTCATTAAAAATAACATGATTAGTCCGTTTTATGAACGAAACTAATAACATGATTAGTCCGTTTCATGAACGAAACTACGCATTTAGATTTAAGAGACTATGCATAAATAAAAGTGACTCTCCATGCAAAGATGTCAATGCCTGATTTACAACGGTACCCTTGAAACTTTAATCTGATCAAGTATGAGTTAAATATCAATGATTTTGTTTATTTTCATTTGTGGTTCCTCTTGAAAAGTTGGTTAAAAGAAATAATTGAGAAATAAAAAATTCTAGTTAGAAAAATGATAGTGTGTATCCGAACCTTGCAGAGGAAGGGTGTCAGCAGAGCTTTCTAAGCCTGTTGAGAGAAAGGGCGCTATGTGCGTTGTACTTGTATAGAAGTCTAGATAGCAAGGACACTTCTCTCCACAACTGAGTGGAAAGCGTGACTAATCCCGATTAATAAAGATGAATACAGAAGGAATACAGAAACTCAAAACATCAGGGATGAAGTACACGCTGATACAGGTTTTAAGGGGGAACAGAGCCTTCAATAGACTTTAAATCAAATACCATAAACTGGTTTTTCACCCTTCTCAAAATGGAAACTGGATTACTCATGGCAGACCTCTGACAATGATAGGCAAAAGACACACTCCCCGTATTTTAAAGCGATGGGACAGCATGCTTAGCGGGTTATTTTTTCTTTAAAAAATCTGTCCACATAGGAATACACGTTAAAAGTGAGGACTATGGTATATCTCCTAACTGTTACCCTTACACCCCATCCTCATCCGCCTACCTCCTAAATTCCAACCTTATCCTACTTCACGAGCAGATATAGTGGAACTCAGAAACTGCTTTGCTGTGGAGTCTTAATCAAAACTTTCTGAGAGAGATCATCATTGGTATCATTGGTGTTCCTTTCCTAGGGGGTACACCCAAATCACCTTGAACCTAGCCGAATGCAGTTAAGACTAGGAGGTCTTTTAATTTCTTTCTAACTTACTGCAAGACACTGATGCATGTAATGCAGCTGACAAAGGGAAGTTCTCATTACAACAATGTCAGCAATAAACCTGCATAGATGGCCGATATCAAAAACAACTGGAATAAATATAGAAACTCAAGAGCTGATATTGAAATACTACAAATTGCCTGATCAGCTCTCGAAACTGAATATTAACCCTCCTGGGGGGCGGGGGTATGCAGCTAATTGAATGAGCAAAACAGGACAGCCAGGAAAAAAAAAAAAAAAAAAAAATTGATAAAGTAAAAAAGTTCGAAAAATGACGTTATCTTCCACCGTTTTCATTAGATTAAGGATTCAAGGGTAACGTTGTAAATCGGACATTGCACTTTTTGCAGAAAGGGTGACTTGAAGTTTCGCATGTTTCTTTAAGGATTGCATGTTTTTGTTGATTTTCCACTCTATGTTAAAACATGATTAAACTTCCTTGTCCTTGTACGTCCTTGTACTAAACTTATGGAAATCAATATTTTTTAGATATTCAGCGTTAAAAGCATGATATATAAAAATATATACCAATAAGAACACTTAGCCATTGCTAGTGCATTAATACACTATTAAATTTATTACAAGATAAAATTATGAGAATTAACATGTTTGTAAATAATCAAACTTCATCCATTTAAGTCTTTTATTATGATGAAGAAAATGTATTTTACATAAAATACTAAACTGAAAATATGAAAATGTTGAATTTTAATGTTTAAAATAACTTTTCAAAACATTAACAAATAAAAAATATAAAAGGAAATAGTCAAAAATGTTTTTAGATAATTTATTTTTATTTTCCTGCTTTTTGTCAGTTATTAGTATACAATGGGCTCAGGACCCCTTGTGGTGATTGACGGAAAATTAAGCTAGAAATTATAAAATTCATCAGTTGGAGGTGCTATTGATTTTTTAGGAATTTTTTTGTTTTTTTTTAAATTATGACGTTCTTTTCACGTTTACTACTTGTGTTTGCCATGTCCATTTCCATTTTGACGAGGCAGGTGGAGGGGGAGGGGGATATATACGCACCCCTTTATTTATGGAAACTAGGAAGTGAGATAGAGTATGTATATAGTAACCCTGAATCAAACAGTGCAGTAAATACTCTCCATACTTTTTAATTAAAGTTACTCCAAACAATTATGCTTAAAAATAATTGGATTGAAAAAAAGGAACATCAGACTTAAGGAAAGCATTGATCTCATTCTTTTCGGCAATTTCTCTTATACCCATTCTTTTATCTACTCCTTATTAATCCTTTTCCTTTGCATTCCTTTAGTTCTAAATGATTTAATACATTTACATTACATGTGAGTTACCTAATACCTAATTAAAGTTATAAACATAAATTTTATAGTCTTTATAGATTGAACATTTTAATATTTCTCTTGGTCTCTAATCTTTCCATGGAATTTTAAAGTTCTTAAATACGATTTTATTTCAGAAATAGTAAAATACTTCTCCAGAAATAAAAGAGTACTTTTAAAGAATTATAAAAGAATATTTTTCTAGATTTGGTCAAACATACTTTTTAAGATTTACATAAACATACTTTTCTAGATTAACACAAGCATACTTCTATAAATGTATACAAACATACTTTTATAGATCTATACAAACATACTTTCTAGATCTATACAAACATACTTTTATAGATCTATACAAACATACTTCATTAGATCAATACAAATATACCTCTCTAGATCTATACAAACATTCTTTTCTAGATCTATACAAACATACTTTCTAGATCTATACAAACATACTTTTATTGATCAATACAAACATACTTTTATAGATTTATACAAACATACTTCACTAGATCTATACAAACATACTTTTCTAGATATATACAAACATACTTTTCTAGATATATACAAACATACTTCATTAGATATATACAAACATACTTTTCCAGATTAACATAAACATACTTTTCCAGATATATACAAACATACTTCCCTAGATATATTCAAACATACTTTTCCAGATTATCACAAACATACTTTTCCAGATATATACAAACATACTTTTCTAAAACTATATGAACAAACATACTTTACTAGAACTATATGTAAAAGCATACTTTTACTGATACTTCTTCATGTTTTTGTTAATTTTCAGGTAAAATGTCGCGGGGCTCCTCGTTTAATCAAGAGGCGACAGAATTTTATAAATCTTCGAAGGTAATTTCTGAATAGTAACTTTATCCAACTTTCCTACACTCTTGTTTAAAAATGTTCTATCATTTTCTATACGCCATAGAGTAAAAAAACGAAGAGGTAAAGCTTAGCTAAGATGTACACAAACGACCTGTCTATTAATTAATTAATAGACAGGTCGGTTGTGTACCTGTCTATTAATTAATTAATAGACAGGTCGGTTGTGTACATCACGATATGTTTACGTATCTAACACTACACACTTGTATAGATTATCGTATTTCTTTGGGGTGGTAAAATGTAGATTATTGAAAATTAGTAATGATAATTAGATAGACACTTAATATGGATTGTAAACACAGGATTGTATACTGCAGTACATTCCAGTTTAGTTGTTTGTTTATAAAAGTATGACCAAGTTTTAAAGTGCACAAACGATTCTTCTTGTAAAAATGTGAGTTTTTCAAAATATCAAAACATTGTGCAATGTGCATGGCTAGACCGTTTAAGGTTGGGAGACTCCACCATATATCCTTCAAGTTGAATTTGCTCAAACCATTTTAAAGAAGGAGATATTAATTAGTCAGGGGAAAAACCAAGTTTGAAGAAAAATGCAACACCATTGTTCTCAACTTTAGCGAATATAAAAATGAATTTACTGTATTGTTTAACTTATAATGTTTTAATATTTAACAAAATTTAAAAAAAAGAAGTCGCAATTACAGATGCATGCGCATCGTTTTTTTTCAGTTCATTTGTTTTACATTTGTTAACTACCCATCCAGTTTGTGTTTTTTTTCAGTACTTTAGTAAAAGTTTGAATTTGTTTGTTCATATAATAACAGGCGCGCAACTAGGGATGGCAATGGGGGGGGGGGGGGCAAGAAGAGTTGAAGAGAAGAAAGAATATAAATATTTGAAATAAGAATGTTATACAAGTTTTAAGCTAAAGGCATGCCCATAGAAACTTAATATTTTTGACAAAACTTTTAGCTAATAAATTGAAAACCTACAAATTTGAAAATTGTCAAATGTTTGAATAAAGAAAGAAAATCTAAAAATTTGTCAATTTCATAAACCCCTAAAGAAATACGATCACTCTATATACAAGTGTACAGTGTTAGATACGTAAACATATCGTGATGTACACAACCGACCACTCTATTAATTAATTAGGGAGGTTGGTTGTGTACATTTGAGCTAAGCTTTACCTCTTCGTTTTATTACTCTATGCTATACGTTTTGAATCTTAAAATCCTTCCCACATTAGAATCTACATAGAAGAGGCTGATTCATATGGTGTACTGTCTCATTTTGCTTTATACAGCCTGTATGTGTACTGTACACTGTACAGTCTGCTCTAGCTGGCTTTACAGTGCCCCACTCTTGTTTTAACTGTCTGTGGTTTAATCTGACTGAAAGCGCCTGGTGTGTATTCACAATGAAAAGAGCTCGCAACGGCGCTGCAGTATTTATCTGCTTATATTCCTCGTCGTAAAGAGAGATCACTTGTTAAATCAGGGTTCCAGAGCTACCTCCGGAGCCCAAAACTTAAGACAAGGTATCGTAATGAAAACCAGTTTTGGAACCCGGGTTTCACAAATGGGGTTAGGCAGTTTTGTGGATATCAATATTTTTGTTATGATGTATTATTTTATTTGGTTTCTTCATATTCTCCATTTTTTTCGAATCTCTTCAATCAAGATTTACACAAATGTTAAAACCCCAGAAATGAAACTCGGTAGTTTCGTTCAACGATACTCTTTAAAATTTCGGGCTCTGAGCTACTGGAATTGTTTACTTTTACTGAAACAGAAGTGCCCAGTTAAATTTTTTTACTCATCACCCTTCTTTTAAGTTTCCGGTATTGTTTTATCAAATCAGGGTTCACTCACGTACTTGGTAACTACCAAGGAGTATGGAATAGAAGGGAGATACAACTGACACGGCCCGCCCTACCATATGATAATACATGCTTTGCAGACGGTACTCCATTTGTATAAGAAATATTTGTCTGATGTAAAATTACCGCGTATACAATATATTTCTTAGAATATTTCTTATACAAATGGAGTACCGTCTGCAAAGCTTGTATAATCATATGGTAGGGCGGTCCGCGTCAGTTGTATCTCCCTTCTATGTCATACTCCTTTGTAATTACACACAACGGCGACAGGATCTATCTATCTATCGATATATGCAAATTTTTTAATCCCAATTAAGACCCATATGTAAATTAGCGAGAAAGACTAACCGGAATTCTTTACTTCATTTGTATACGTAATTATAAGTGGCCCGTGGGCCTCTATTTAAAAAGAGTGGCATATTCAATTCACAAGGATACCCTTGATACCTTGGTCTCATTAAGAATAAATAAGACAGTCACCTTTTTCTCGCTGAAAATGAATTGCATGACAATAAAAGAAATGGTAAGAATTTTACACTTTTTAAGATAAAAAAAAAACGACTGATCACTGGTCACTGTTGATCAGGTAAAAAACTAGCGGACACGGTTGATAATTATCGATTTTTCATTTTTCATTGCGGATTTTTAATGAATAATTGATACAGTTTTCTTTACTGAAAAGTCAGTCAGCCGTTAAATTACAAAAAAACATTATCTTTTTTATCTGTTTTTGAAAATACTTTTCATGAAATGCAATAAAAAATTATAATTGTTTCTTTGTAATTTTCATTTGATGGTTAATGTTTTTTTATTTTCTTTTTTTGCGTTTTTATAACATTTTAACGATATGTAGATCTAAAATAAAATACAGTATTTTTCTCTTTCTTAATAATGATGTTTGATATATTTTTCTGGGATTTTGGTCCATTACTTCTAAAAAATCTAAAATACACTATTTTTGTGTGTTTACCAATATTTGTATAATACAGTTTCATCTCCCTGGAACAGTTACTGCAATGCAAATCTTTTTGTAAAAAATAATTCTGTAAGATTTCTGATAAAACTGCAAACTAATGTCAAAATATGTAAAACCGGGAATTGAGAAATTTCATAAAAAAGTCTAATATAATTCAAAACTGAATTAAGACCTTTCTCCTACTGTTTTCATTTAACTAATTTTCTAATTTAAAAAGATTAAAATAACGTTTTTTTCCAAAAATTATATTTTTCTTGTTAAGCCAATACTGCAACAGTTGACAAATCTACGTATTGTGTTGGAGACGAGTCTACTGAAGGTCCTAGAACTAAGGTCAGTTTAGTAGCCCCCCCCCCCTCACCATTTTCCATTTAATAATTTTGAATTGCACCCTTCCTGCATGTACTCCTGCTACCCGCTTTAAATTGCATTCCTTAAAAGATTGTTTCTTCAATCTTCAAAAATTGAACAAATTTAAATTTTAGAAAAATTCTATTTACAACAATGTCTTCTAAATTAAAAAGATCTTTGCTTATATATATATATATAATATATATATATATATGTTAACTTTAGCTGGCCTAACGGCTGGACCAAATAGACTAAAACCCATGGGTACCCTGGCTTAATAAATTTGAATTTTTTTTGGCTTCAAAATTTAAAATTTGTTCATTCCAAAATTCAAATTTTCATTTATTCCACGGGCAATGCCGGGCACTTCAGCTAGTTTATAATAAAACTAAAAGACTTTCAGTATTCCTCAAATTATAATATCAAAATGTTGGCCAAATTGAAAATAGTGTTGAGAAAACGGTAATTGATTAAACTTACAATAAAACTTAATTTTTAAATATATATATAATAAATCTATAAATATAAAACTACTAAATATACAGATTTGTTTAACAGTTTATTTTTACATCGATTATTTTTTATTGGATGAAAATTCTAGAAATGCAATTTTCCTTGTAAAAGCACTTTAGAAACTAGAGTTTAATTTTAAAAATATTTATTATTAACTTTTTTTTACTTAAACTGTAAATGACTTTTTCCTTTACTAAATTAGAATTAATTCGAATCACTGCAAACTAGAAGGTGCAATTTATATAAAATCCCTTGTTATGAATTTGTGACCACGTAGCTCTTCTAGTTTTGATTTTATGAAATAAATTCATTTAAAAATTTTTATAATTTAAAAAAAACAAAGAGGTCAAGTATCTGGAGTGAAATATATTCATTAAATCATTTTTATAATTAAAAAAACCCAAAGAGGTCCTGTTTCTTTCTGAGATGAAAAAGTACTTCAAATAGTTTTTAAATAATTTTTAAAACAGCGGAGAGGTCCAGTATCTTTAAGATGACTAAATTCAGTAAAATAGTTTTTATAATTTAGAAAAAAACAAAGAGGTCCAGTGTCTAAAGATGAACTAAATTCATTTAAATAGTTTTTATGATTTTAGAAAAAACGGATAGGTCCGGTATCTAGAGATGAACTAAATTTATTTGATAATTTTATAATTTTAGAAAAAATGGAGATGTCCAGTATCTAAAGATGAACTAAATTCATTTGATAATTTTATAATTTTACAAAAAACGGAGAGCTTCGGTATCTAGAGATGAACTAAATTCATTTGATAATTTTATAACTTCAGAAACAACGGAGAGGTCCGATATCTAGAGATGAACTAAATTCATTTGATAATTTTTTAATTTTAGAAAAAATGGAGAGGTCCGGTATCTAGAGATGAACTAAATTCATTTGATAGTTTTATAATTTTAGAAAAAACCGAGAGGTCCGGTATCTAGAGATGAACTAAATTCATTTAATAATTTTTTAATTTTAGAAAAAATGGAGAGGTCCGGTATCTAGAGATGAACTAAATTTATTTGATAATTTTATAATTTTAGTAAAAACGGAGTGCTCCGATAACTAGAGATGAACTAAATTCATTTGATAATTTTATAATTTTAGAAAAAACGAGAGCTCACGGTTTCTAGAGATGAACTAAATTTATTTTATAATTTTATAATTTTAGAAAAAACGGAGAGCTCCGGTATCTAGAGATGAACTAAATTCATTTGAAAATTTTATAATTTTAGAAAAAAAAGGAGAGCTCACGGTATCAAGAGATGAACTAAATTCATTTGATAATTTTATAATTTTAGAATAAAACGGCGAGGTCCAGTATCTAGAGATGAACTAAATTCATTTGATAATTTTTTTAATTTTAGAAAAAAACGAGAGCTCCGGTATCTAGAGATTAACTAAATTTATTTGATAATTTTTTAATTTTAGAAAAAATGGAGAGGTCCGGTATCTAGAGATGAACTAAATTCATTTGATAATTTTTTAATTTTAGAAAAAACAGAGAGGTCCGGTATCTAGAGATGAATTAAATTCATTTGATAATTTTATAATTTTAGAAAAAACAGAGAGCGCAGCATCTAACTATGAACTAAATTCATTCAAATGACTTTTATGATTTTAGAAAAAAGCAGAGAGGTCCAGTATCTAGAGGCGAATTACAAGGGATAGATATAGTTTCCCCTATAAAGCTTCTCAGGTATATAAATGGGTTACTCTAGCCCAGTTAACATTTTTACCCACGTAGGATAAAAATAGAAACTCCATGCTTATGAAACAGTGAGAACCAGAAAACACTGGAATTTAAAACACCACTAAAGTGAATTCGATGTTGTTACACAGCAAACAGTTTTTATATTGACTTAGTAAATCATTTATTCGGTCAAAGGGTCTGTTTACACTGCACTATTTCATGTACATTGGACTATTTATAGTAATAACATGAGTCTAAAATACGTCTTTCTATTCCAGAGTTTTCTGGTTCTCACTGTAATCTATTCTCCGATGTCGGAACGCTGATCGAACTTGACGGGTTTAAACTTACCAAGGCATGTGAATAAGGGTTCACAAAGGTAGTGAATTCCAATTGGAAACCCTACTGTGAATGCTTCATAAAAATAGTTTGTTCTAAGCTCTTTTTGTCATTTATTACAGAATAATTACAGATGTTCTATATTAAAGTTAACTTTTATAGTGAAGGAACCATATTTCTGTAAATTAGATTTACCAATCCAAATATCTTTGCAACCTAATGGCTAAAACCTTTGATTTTTGAAACTTTGACTACATAATCTATCAACATTCTCATGGTCTACGATATTAGGAAGCCAAAAATAGGATTTATAATAACAAATAATTTAACTGACAAGAAATATAATTAAGTGAGACAGTGAAGAGTTTAGATGCAGTTCTGGAGAAATTTACAAAATTAGGAAAACAAGAAAAACAATGCAGTTCGTCACTTTTCTTTAGAGCCAGGTAGGAGACAGTCGTCTTTATTCTTCAGAGCCAGGTAGGAGACAGTCGTCTTTGGTATTCAGAGCCAGGTAGGAGACAGTTGTCTTTATTATTCAGAGCCAGGTAGGAGACATTCGTCTTTATTCTTCAGAGCCAGATAGGAGACAGTTGTCTTTATTCTTCAGAGCCAGGTAGGAGACATTCGTCTTTATTCTTCAGAGCCAGGTAGGAGACAGTTGTCTTTATTATTCAGAGCCAGGTAGGAGACAGTTGTCTTTATTATTCAGAGCCAGGTAGGAGACATTCGTCTTTATTCTTCAGAGCCAGGTAGGAGACATTCGTCTTTATTCTTCAGAGCCAGGTAGGAGACAGTTGTCTTTATTATTCAGAGCCAGATAGGAGACATTCGTCTTTATTATTCAGAGTCAGGTAGGAGACAGTCGTCTTTATTCTTCAGAGCCAGGTAGGAGACAGTTGTCTTTATTCTGAAAGCCAGGTAGGAGACATTCGTCTTTNGTAATAACAGGTTTTTATCATCAACCATTTTCGTAATAACAGGTTTTCATCATCAAACATTTTATAATAACAGGTTGTTTTTTATCATCAAACATTTTCATAATAACAGGTTTTTATCATCAAACATTTTCATAAAACAGGTTTTTATCATCAAACATTTTCATAACAACAGGTTTTTATCATCAATAATTTTCATGATAACAGTTCAAAACTGCTAACATCACATCTTCTTTATCTTATAAGGTCTTATTCAAATCATTACTATTATTGTTATTAATATTATTATTTATTCATTTATCTATTTATTATTATTATTATACAAATAATCAATTATTATTATTAATTATCTTGTTTTAGAATAAGCTATTTATTTATTATTACTACTATCCAGGGAGGATGTGGGTAAGCTGAGAGTAGATTTAGTAAATGTTCTTGCAATGATAGATGTTTACAATCAGATTCTAGCGGAGGTGATATATTTTAAATATACATATATATTATGAAACTATTGTTTACTTTATCAATCACGGCCATTAAGATATTTCTATAAAATTTCACAAGCATTTTATAAGATTACATATTTCTTTTCAAAATCTTTATCCCACTGCGAACCAAATGTTTATAAATAGTTATATTGGATGTATTAAATATTAATTATATAGGAAAGATTATGTTCAATTTGATCCACTAGTCTTTTAATTTGCATATTTATAATTGCCCTGGGAACCCAGTTTTACCTGAAAACTTAATATAAAAGTCAACATTGTCAATTTTTAAAATTAAGCTAAGAAAATTTCCGGGTTTCTACGGAGTACCCCAATACAAATTTGAGGCAAATCGATAAACGGGTTCATGAGTTGTGATCTAACATTCAAACAGACAATGAAGCAGAGATTACTACTGTTGTCAACCATTAACATTAAGACCCCCCCCCTTCTATGTAATGTCGTCTTCAACTTAAATGCTCCTCTCGGAGACGAGAATCCAAACCAAACAATTTCAGCCCGCTTTTCTTCTTTGTTCTCCGATAACGGAGTATAAACGTTTATCAATTGTGAACCATTTCAAAGTTAAACAAGAATATTTCTATTTAAAGAATTAGTGACTTTCATCAACATTTAATTGTTAATCTTTTCAGAAGCTTTAATGTATAAAAAGCGTCTTCGGACTTTTCGACAGATAACCCCCAAATAGGCAAATAGATCGTAAGAATCTTTTCATTATAAATTTGTAAACCCTGTAATAATTATTTATCATTATTCATTTCATTATTTTTTTTAGGAAATAAAGAGTTTTCTGCATTATCGATTTTGATTTGTGGGTTATACCTTGTCTATCTGTTCATCGTCAGAATCTTGTTCCTTAGCGACAACAACTGTATATTTATAGAATAGAAATATATCCTCGTCACAAAGGGATTAAATTCAAAGGGATTGTCAAAGTATTTTCTTAACTTTATGAGTTACACATTAACGATTCACAACAGTACCCTTAAATCCTTTGTATGATCAGGAACAATGAAATGTAATTATTTTTTTATGTGAAAGTTGATTCGGGCCTTGTTTCTCTTTTAAGGGAGGTTCACTTAAATATACGTTAACTGTCCCTTTAAATGGGTTTGTTTAAGATCCTAGTATTGCATTGTTTAGTATCCTAGTATTGTATTGTTTAGGATCCTAGTATTGTATTGTTTAGGATCTAGTATTGTATTGTTTAGGATTCTATTATTGTATTGTTTAGGATCCTAGTATTGTATTATTTAGGATCCTAGTATTGTATTGTTTAGGATCCTAGTATTGTATTGTTTAGGATCCTAGTATTGTATTGTTTAGGATCCTAGTATTGTATTGTTTAGGATCCTAGTATTGTATTGTTTAGGATCCTAGTATTGTATTATTTAGGGATCCTAGTATTGTATTGTTTAGGATCCTAGTATTGAAGTATTGTATTGTTTAGGATCCTAGTATTGTATTGTTTAGGATCCTAGTATTGTATTGTTTAGGATCCTAGTATTCCTAAAATACAGTCTCCCATGGTCAACAGTTCTGTGCTTTCTGTTCTTCATAATAACAGGTTTTTTATCATCAAACATTTTCATAATAACAGGTTTTTTATCATCAAACATTTTCATAATAACAGGTTTTTATCATCAAACATTTTCATAATAACAGGTTTTTATCATCAAACATTTTCATAATAACAGGTTTTTCATCAGACATTTTCATAATAACAGGTTTTTATCATCAAACAGTTTCATAATAACAGGTTTTTATCATTAAACATTTCATAATAACAGGTTTTTATCATCAAACATTTTCATAATAAAAGGTTTTTATCATCAAACATTTTCATAATAACAGGTTTTCATCATTAAACATTTCATAATAACAGGTTTTTATCATCAAACATTTTCATAATAACAGGTTTTTATCATCAAACATTTTCATAATAACAGGTTTTTATCTTTAAACATTTCATAATAACAGGTTTTTATCATCAAACATTTTCATAATAACAGGTTTTTATCATTAAACATTTCATAATAACAGGTTTTTATCATCAAACATTTTCATAATAACAGGTTTTTATCATCAAACATTTTCATAATAACAGGTTTTTATCATCAATAATTTTCATGATAACAGGTTTTTATCATCAAACATTTTCATAATAACAGGTTTTTATCATCAAACAATTTCATAATAACAGGTTTTTATTTTCAAACATTTTCATAATAACAGGTTTTTATCATTAAACATTTTCATAATAACTGGTTTTTATCATCCATTATTTTCATAATAACAGGTTTTTATCATCAAACATTTTCGTAATAACAGGTTTTTATCATCAACCATTTTCGTAATAACAGGTTTTCATCATCAAACATTTTATAATAACAGGTTGTTTTTTATCATCAAACATTTTCATAATAACAGGTTTTTATCATCAAACATTTTCATAAAACAGGTTTTTATCATCAAACATTTTCATAACAACAGGTTTTTATCATCAATAATTTTCATGATAACAGGTTTTTATCATCAAACATTTTCATAATAACAGGTTTTTATCATCAAACAATTTCATAATAACAGGTTTCTATTTTCAAACATTTTCATAATAACAAGTTTTTAAAATCAATTATTTTCATAATAACAGGTTTTTATCATCAAACATTTTCATAATATCAGGTTTTTATCATCAAACATTTTCATAATAGCAGGTTTTTTATCATCAAACATCAAATTACATTAAAAATTGATTGCAATATTAGTTTTGCAATATTTTTCTTTGGCACAGAATCTGAGATTGCATCTAATGCCGGTTTTGTCCCTTTTGTATTGAGATATTGAGAAATCTATCTAAATTTTTGATTTTAAATACAACCGAGGTTGTTTATATATTCTCTATTTTCGACAGTTTTTAACCTTATAAAGGCTGGGTGGATCTGAGTCTAGAAAAACATCTTAGAGTTAAGGTTATGCATGTTCTAAGCCAACTTTTCAAGGTCAGCTCATTGAAAAAAAGTAGACTGCTTACTTTAATAGTGTTGGACGTGGGTGCTAGGAAGGGTTAAAAAAATGCCAAAAAAGGGTAGGAAAAACGTATTTTTTTTTGACAAATAATAACTTTTTATAAAACTTTTAAAAAATGTAATTTTATATCTGTAGCTTTTGTCGAAAAAAATTAATTTCTTTTAACTCGAACCGGACTTTTTACCGCCCTGTACCCTTAAGCATTAAATAAAAAATATTTACTATTCCTTAAAAGTAATGAAATTTAAAGTAATAAAACTATAAATTCAGATTTTATCCAACATTTCTTGTTTATTTAATTATTTTATGCTAGTTTTTCGATTTAATATTAGATGTTTTTATTGTTTCAGACATTATCACAGTCATATTCACGAAAACTTGTGTTCACCGCTTAACCATCAACTTAAACCAATAACCACTAGTAAGGTAATATATTTCACGCCAAACTGATAAAAACTGCACAGTTGAAATGAAAATCTGTCCCACGAAACATGACAGTTGGTGAATAGTTTTAAATGTCTTCTTCCATAATTTGTTAAGTTCTTTGATACAAAAGAGATTAATTATCATTAATATAAAATATAACATTGCAGTATATTTGAGTAAAAGATTGTGTTTACGAAATAAACTGCAAAAAGTTTTTAATATATATTATAATTTATGGAAGAAGACATTCAAAAAACATTCACTAATTTTCATGTTTCGTGGGACACCCTGTATTTTCTTAATTATAACTCCTCTCATTGAAGAGCTTTTAAAGAACATTAATTTTCTTTTCTCCTTCTTATTACTAAAATATAAAATAGAGGAGCTACAAGGTCACACAGTCGTACCAGTACTCTACCCTTCTCCTTCTTGTTACTAAAATATAAAATAGTGGAGCTACAAGGTCACACAGTCGTACCAGTACTCTAACCTTCTCCTTCTTATTACTAAAATATAAAATAGAGGAGCTACGAGGTCACACAGTCGTACCAGTACTATACCCTTCTCCTTCTTGTTACTAAAATATAAAATAGTGGAGCTACAAGGTCACACAGTCGTACCAGTACTCTAACCTTCTCCTTCTTGTTACTAAAATATAAAATAGTGGAGCTACAAGGTCACACAGCCGCACCAGTACTCTAACCTTCCTTCTCCTTCTGTCTAGTTTCCAGTGATTTTAATTTTTATTCTTTTATTGATACTTTTTTTAATAACTAGCTTCAGAACACTCAGGACACTAATTATTCCATCAGAGAAATGGTAATTAACACTCAGGCCACTAATTCCTTTACATAATAGATTGTAATTAATACTCAGGACACTTATATCTCCACCGGAGGGATCGTGATTAACACTCAGAACACTAATTACTCCATTGGAGGGTTAGTATTTTTCACTCAGGACACTAATTACTCCACCGGAGGGATAGTAATTAACACTCAGGACATTAATTACCATCCCTCCAGCGGAGTAATTAGTGCACTGAGTGTTAATAATTATCCCTCCGGTGGAGTAATTAGTGCCCTGAGTGTTAATTACCATCCCTCCGATGGAGTAATTAGTGCCCTGAGTGTTGATTAACATCCCTCCGGTGGAGTAATTAGTGCCCTGAGTGTTGATTAACATCTCTCAGGTGGAGTAATTAGTGTCCAGAGTGTTAATTACCATCCCTCCGATCGATGGAGTAATTAGTGTCCTTAATGTTAATTACCATCCCTCCTGTGAAATGTTTAGTGTCCTAAGTGTCAATGATCATCCCTCCAATTGAGTAATTAGTGTCCTTAGTATTAATTACCATCCCTCCGGTGGAGTAATTAGTGTCTTGAGTTTAAATTACCATCCCTCCGGTGGAGTAATTAGTGTCCTGAGTGTTAATTACCATCTATTATGTGAAGGAATTAGTGTCTTAAGTTTAATTTACCATCCCTCCGATGGAGTAATTAGTGTCCTGAGTGTTAATTACCATCCCTCCGGTGGAGTAATTAGTATCCTGAGTGATAATTACCACCCCTCCGGTGGAGTAATTAGTATCCTGAGTGGTAATTACCACCCCTCCGGTGGAGTAATTAGTGTCCTGAGTGTTAATTACTATCCCTCCGGTGGATTTATAAGTATTTAATAAAAACTGAGTGTTCCATCCGTTGGAAATAATTTTCCTCCAGCGGAGGGGACAGAATATGCCTCTGCAAACTTCAATCTCTCTTCAGAACCCAGCGTTGCCCAGGGTACTCATAGTTACTCCCACTGTTTACCCCAAGCTTGGTCGTAAATAACGATTTTAGATTTTCTTCCCTATAAAAGTAGACCCACTCAATATAGAATTTCAAACCTTTTGAGAACATTTCCATGGTTCTCCGATTTCCTCAATCAAAATTTGAGGCAAATCGGTCAAAGGGTTTCCTGAGTTATGATCGAACATACAAACAAACTAAGAAACAAAGAAACAGAGATTACAACTTTGAATACATATATACTTTTGATAAATTGTTTGGTTTAGATTTTAAGTATGATTGGTAGGGAGAGAGCTACAGTCGCCTGTAAAGAGTTTTCAACAATTCTTTTGGAAGTAAGTTTTTTTATTTTGTATTATTTTTCAATCCAATTCCTGACATAATTTCTTATTTATAAACATCTTTTTATTCTGCATGGAATGTCTGTTTATTACAATGTGCGGCCTCATTAGGTGTCCCAATCTTCCCGTTAAAGGGAGATAAATATATATAAACAGACAGACGTAAATGAAAGTTATTTTTTCTTATTTGTAACGGTTCTGACGATTCTGACTGATAAATTACAATTTCAGATTTACAAATTACAAAATTAACAAACATGAATAAAGCTTTTGATAATATATATATTTGTATGTATGTATATATATATATATAATGTTAGCAATAGCTTTAAAATAATAAAAATTATGATAATAATATTAATTTCTAGATGTATGGCCAAGGTTCTAAAGCCTCGACTTCTAAGCCGACAAAAGAAGTTTTTATTGTGGATATGAAAACACACTTCCGGTTGATGGAACAATTGGTGGAGAACGAGAGCATTATCCTACATCATGTACTTTCATGTTTACCTCAGGTTTGTTAAATATTCCAGAACAGTAACAAACAAAACATTTTTCTACGTCAACCTGTCCATTAAATGTTCTGTCCATTAAGTGTCATGTCCATTAAATGTCCTGTCCATTAAATGTTCTGTCCATGAAATTTTCTGTCCATTAAATGTTCTGTCCATTAAATGATCTGTCATAAAATGTCCTGTCTATGAAATGTCCTGTCTATGAAATGTTCTGTCCATGAAATGTTCTGTCCATTAAATGTTCTGTCCATGAAATGTTCTGTCCATTAAATGTCCTGTCCATTAAATTTTCTGTCCATTAAATGTCCTGTCTATGAAATGTGCTGTCTATGAAAGGTTCTGTACATTAAATGTCCTGTCCATGAAATGTGCTGTCTATGAAATGTTCTGTCCATGAAATGTTCTGTCCATGAAATGTGCTGCCCATGAAATGTTCTGTCCATTAAATGTCCTGTCCATTAAATGTTCAGTCCATTAAATGTCCTGTCCATTAAATGACCTGTTCATGAAATGTTCTGTCTATAAAATGTTCTGTCCATGAAATGTTCTATCCATGAAATGTTCTGTCCATTAAATGTTCTGTCCATGAAATGTTCTGTCCATTAAATGTTCTTTCCATGAAATGTTCTGTCTATTAAATGTTCTGTCCATGAAATGTTCTGTTTATGAAATGTGCTGTCCGTGAAATGTTCTGTCCATAAAATGTTCTGTCCATGAAATGTTCTGTCCATGAAATGTTCTGTCCATGAAATGTTCTGTCCATGAAATGTGCTGTCCATGAAATGTTCTGTCCATAAAATGTTCTGTCCATTAAATGTACTGTCCATGAAATGTTCTGTCCATGAAATTATGTCCATGAAATGTTCTGTCCATGAAATGTTCTGTCCATGAAAGATGCTTTCCATGAAATTTTCTGCCCATGAAATGTTCTGTCCATGAAATGTTCTGTCCATGGAATGTGCTGTCTATGAAATGTTCTGTCCATGAAATGTTCTGTCCATGAAAGATGCTTTCCATGAAATGTTCTGTCCATGAAATGTGCTGTCTATAAAATGTCCTGTCCATGAAACATTATTTATATGAAATGTTTTATCTACAGTGGTAGGAATTATATCAACACAATGAAGACGACTGTCGATTTCATTTTTGATTTATATCAATCTGTTAAACAGGATGGATACCCATACATTGAAGTCAAGACTCAAGAGAAGCTGCGTCAATTTGAAAAGCTTCTCTTTGATTACTTGTAAACTTTTTACCAATCAAAAATTAAATAAAAAAGTTATCTTCATTGTATTGATATAATCGCTCACCACTGAATGACGCATTTTTCTATGAAATATTCTATTCATGATATTTTTTGTCAACCATTGATACTTTTCATATCAAACTTGTTGAAAGGGACTGTCCGCGTAATTTCATTTAGAGACTTACATCCCAGATTATAAAAAATGATGGCAATATCCGTGTTTTTCTATCAGAAAATTGATAAATTTGAACTGCATTTTCTTGACTTGCAGATTTATGCAGTAGAGAGAGGGAAGCATTTGTTGAATAAATCTCTTTTAAGATAGAAATACGAAGATATCTTCGTCAGATTAATATTTACAGGTTACCATTGTGAATTGTGCATGTAAATCTAAAATTGAAGGGTTACTTGAAATCACGCCAACAGTCCCTTAGTAAATGTTTCCCTCAGGTTCCTGGATTGTTGAATAAAAGTCAGTTGAAGGAGGGGAAGGAAGGAGTTCCAAGACTGATTGGACAAGTCAAGTAAAAACTAGTTTTTTCTTCATTCTTTAAATATTTTTCCTTTTTTTCAAAGACACCGGAAAATGAAAGGTGGTATTCGCCAAGCCCAAATTTAATTTGTAATCAAATAGTATCAATATTTTTTCATCTTATGTTTGAGTAATGAGAAAATTATAAAAAATATTCTTTGCTCGCAGCGGAGAATCCAGAGTGAAATTCCCCTTTTGCTCTCGTATTCTGACGGGAGACATCCAGAGGCCGTATTATGTTGTCCTCCAAAGTACACAGATCATATGCAGCTTTATATAAGTGACCCGAAAAAAGATTGATACCATTAGATTCCAAATGCTATACACTCTTTAATTTTTTGCTAACACATCCTGGATTCGTAAATTTTTTTTTAAATTTAAATTTTAAATTTTCCAGGTTGAAAAATACGGAAAATTTTTTTCTAGGTTGAAATAGTAACCACTTGCTTTGCCATTGACCCAGTAAATATATTTTTTTGTCAAACCCTGTCTAGAGCAAGGGGGGGGGGTCAAACTATTAAATATAAAGTTAAAAGGACTGTTATTGAAAAATGAAAGTGGATATAGGATGAAACATAATTAGAGCATAAGTTGATCGGAGCACTGCTTTTATTTCTATCATATAAAAAATGTTCTCACTGTTTTAACTTCTATATTTACTGAGGGGCGTTTATAATCTATCTAAATAAATTGTCTTTGAAGAAAAGTCTGTTAGAAATAAAAATGTGTTAATGGATTCATAATTGATTTCTGTTTTTTTATACTCCTTTTCATGGTCCATATAATTCCATCTCTCATCCCGCATGGGATCGGACTTAAAAGTGCATTTTGAAACAGAAAGTACTCTTTTTGTGTCACTGTGAACTTTAGCAAGTTTTTTTTGTGTACGCGCGTGTATGGGTATTGCATTTGGGGCGTTAAAAGATGCAAATATCAGTAACCAATATTAAAGATATTTTATGATATACAGTAAAATTATGACATGCAGTATAGATTTTTTTAACAACTATGGTTATTTCTGTCCGTATATCAATTAATCAACATTTGGGATTGTATTGGATGGAATTATACTGGGGATAGGGATTTTTGGTATTTTCCCAAAGGCATATTCCCAAGGGCGACTCCCCAAGTGACAATTTCCCGAGTGGCTATTTCCCAAGCGGCAACTTCCCAAAGGTTAGGTTAGGCCTTCTGAGACGTCGCAGGCTGCAAAGAGGGTTAAGCACTGCGGCTAGGATGGGGTGGGGGGCCGAGCGCCAAAGTGAACGCAGTGCAGTTGGAAGACGACAATTTATGTCCCAAGTATGTTAGAATAATATTGCGGGGCCCTTACAATCTTTTTGTACACAGTAAATAACTGGACTCCATTTGCTTTCAAACTTGCACTTCTAACTAATTTGAAATTAAAATCTACAAAATAATGTTAAATAACGAAAGTAAAAAAGGCCTTAATGATGACTGGGGAAAAATTAAGATTACTGTTCAAGCCTGTAATCATAAATAGTGATCGAAAAATGGCTAGCTCTTGATAAATATTTTAATATCGTCTTTATTTCATTTTTTAGAATTAGAAGTGAATCAGAAATTTAAATGTTTGTTGAGTAAGGTCTGAATTTAAAAAGTTTTTGTGAAAAAGTTTAGTTTTTTAGAATGTTGCAAGTTGAATTTTAGAATCAAAACTTGTAAGGTTCAAGCAGGGTTAAAGCTATTTGTGGAGATTTTATATATGTCTAGATGTCCGTTGCTAAGAATGATATACTGGTGTGTTTGTATCATAAAGTTTTATGAGAATAAGTTTTTAATCTGGTAATTTGCAAGTTTTCATAACGACGACATTGAAAATCGCAAACTATTTCTAGTCTTTACTTCATAAAAGGGTCCCGCAACAAAAATTTGGAAAGTTTAACCAAATAAATAATAGCTAATGACCCAACTTGCCGTCTCTTATTCTGTCTGTTCGACTTTAGAATTTCACTTTGGCCGAGCGCTGCGACTAGAACAGTTTAGGGGGTCGCACGCTGCGGCTAGTTCAGACTTGGTAAGCTGCCGCTTGGGAAATTGCCACTTGGGAAAATACCCTATGTAAGTTGCCGATTTGGAAGAAGCCTTTGGGTAAGTACCTAACATCATTATATTGACCGCTGCTCATTTTTGCTTTTTCGTAAATTTTTCCTTTTCAGGAAGAAGATGGGAGAATTCTACCACGATATTCTTTGGAGAAATGTCGGTCAGCTGGCAGAGGAAACTCTACTCTGGGATGGGGGGAAAGAGAGGTAAAATTAACCCTAGGAAGGAGAGGTAATATTAACCCTAGGAAGGATTTGTAATATTAACTCTAGGAAGGAGAGGTAATATTAAACCTAGGAAGGAGAGGTAATATTAACCCTAGGAAGGAGAGGTAATATTAACTCTAGGAAGGAGAGGTAATATTAAATCTAGGAAGGAGAGGTAATATTAACTCTAGGAAGGAGAGGTAATATTAACCTTAGGAAGGAGAGGTAATATTGACCGTAGGAAGGAGAAGTAATATTAACCCTAAGAAGGAGAGGTAATATTAACTATAGGTGGGAATTATGATTTTCTAAAAATATCAAGAAACGACAAAACCCGGTAATTTGAAATGACAAAAATATGTAACGGATTATTGCAAAAAAATGTAAAGGATGATTTCAAAACAAGAATTTATAAAGATCATTGCAAAAACAAGAAGAGGATGTTTGCAAAATAATATTTAGCATCTTTGCAAAAATAAGGAAAGTATCATTGCAAAAATAAGTAAAGAATCACTGCTAAAATAAGTAGAGGAGCATTGAAAACTAGACATGCAAAATAATAAAATTTTTGATTTTGAAAAATGATGAATTAGGATCAGAATTTTAATCAATTAATCAATATCTAAAAATTTCAGAAATCCTGTTGGTTTAATCCACCCTAGAGTATCTCTAGCCTTCAATACTTTGCTCAAAGAACATCTCAGCGCTCAATTTGGAGGTATAGTCAAGTTTATAAACAGGGTTACCCACAAAGAAGAAGACTGCAAAGACGACCAGAAACTATTCAAGGGTAAAATTACGTCTTCTACCTTGAGATTAGTCTCTTTATTATTATTAATTCTGTACAGTCGTCTCTGAAGTCTCATCTTTGTGAATAACCCTGTATATACAGAGAACTATATAAAAAGTCGTCTTTAGAAAGTATTCTATTAGAAACGTCATTAAGGATATTAAAATTTTAATACTTTTTCAAAATATTGAACAAAGCCGACCTTATGTCGCTTTACACTGAAACTGCGGAATGAGTATTGTCTCCGCTCTTTCTTTTTTTATTGTAAAATTTCACTTTGCACCATTAATTGAAGGTTATACTGTAATCATTATATAATTATATTTAATATTAATATTGATTTTATTATTATTAAGACTATAGTACGTGTGTCAACTCTATAAAAAGAGGAATAGAAGGAAAACCATAGAAATATATAAAACTGAGAGTTTTTGTAATAATTACAACTTAACTATTTCTAACAAAGTTCCCTGAACAATTTGAGAGATATATCAGTGTCAACATATAACTACATAACAACAACATAAAGACATTTATTCTATAATTTTTTACTGTTCTATTCAAATAATATTTACTGCTTCATACTAAGAATTCCATCTCTAATGCCGATTGGATCGGATTTAAAGGGAATTTGAGGGTAAACTAAATAGCCTAATATCCTAAATTAGTTTACCATGAAATTACCCAAATAAGTGAACGGCCCCTTTAAAAGTACATTTTGGGACGTAAAATACACTTTCTGTGCCGCTGTCAAAGAATTATAACGTAAAGATAGTTATTTCAGAGGTGTACGCGTTTTTAGTACTGCAGTGCAGTGTACTGTCTCTGGGCGGTAAAGTAAACACAAGACGGATGTCACAGCCTGACATGGGAACCATCTTTCACATAAAAAATCAATGAAATATTCTGGTCATAGGAAACTATTAAGTGAATCCTCCTCGGATACTGTTCTAGTTTACAAACACCGCCCAGAGAGAACTGGTTTCAACATGTACGCAGAGTATATGCAACAGCAATTATCTTTCCTTGCCTCATTAGCTTGGGCCATTGTAAAATTACGCAATTTTTTTTGTGTTCATGAACAACACTTTAGAAATGTGTACTGCCTTAGGGGTGTTGAAAATTTAAATATCAGTGATCAATTTTAGAGATAAATTATGATAAATAGAGAATTAACACTGCCTTGAAGTATAGGTTTTACAAGTATGGAATTTTTTCTACAACTTGAATTCGTACTTCTATTTGTTTAAAACAACAACATGGACCGCATATCAATCAATCAACATTTCGAAACATATTGGATGGAATTGTATGGACATTGGACGGCCCTGTATTTTTATACATACTTTTTCTAGATGGATATCCGTCCTTGATTCTTCCTGCAGTACATATCATTATAGAAACCTTCAGTATTCATGCTGTATCCGCGTCCTGGGACCTTCAGGTAAATAAAAAGGCTGAATGAAGAAGCCCCCCCCCCCCCTCCTTATATATATACATATGTTTTGCTTGTCTGTTTGTTTGCATCAATATATAGAATCCATAAACGTCCACACGGTTTAACGGATCGGGTACCGAATTAAGGAATTGCAGAGGTCACTGAACTACCTATATAGCCGGTTCAAATCCTGAATCACCGATTCAGATTCTCATGAATCTTTAACTTAGCTCAAATTCATTATTCGGTCTAGGGGCTATCTCGTAGCTCTTCTAAAACTTTATTCAATTATATTTTAGAAATCTAAAATATTTTTGTTCTTCTCATATCTCTTTAATAAAAGAAGTTATTACTTATGAAGTGATGTTAACTTTGGTTTAGTATTTGCTTTTAATATTATGATGTACGAAAAAGAAAATGTTCAGAATTAAAAATAATATTGTTGCTATCAATTAGAAAATCCTCAAAAAAAAAACTTTTCTTAGGTTTTGCGGAGTTTAGCGCTTTCAATCCGTCCGAAACCTCAACGTGTTCTTCAAGACGACCTCTCCCTTGCCACTCTGGCCGGCAGCTACTTCAAGAAAACAATTAATGTAAGCTTTCATTTAAAGGGACTTAAAGCGCAATTTCATGTGACCCTCCATGCAAAGATGACAATGACCGATTTACAACAGCATTATGCTAGGGTTAAATACGTTCAAATCTGTCCGCTCTCGGAGTACACGTGTATGGGGAGGATTTGTATATTAAATTTTACTCCGTTTTCCCAGAACCGTACATTAACGATAAAGTATTGCTCTGTAAAAGACTGTTATAGTACGTCTTCCTGTAAAATTGGAATCCTGCAATTGGAAGTAATGGATTTTAATAGTTACATGGAAAACAAATCTCCATATAAATATTTTCAGAAATCACCCCTGGGTACTGTAATATACACATTGACCTTTGGAAGTGAAGTATGGCCTGTACACTAAGTAAAGGTTTAGCGTACATCATCACTTTATATACTATAACCTCGTTGAAGTTTTCATTTAATCAAATTTATGATCTCTGGCTATTTTGAAAGTGTTTCGTAAAAAACATTTTAAGCCGGATAAAACAAGATTTAAGACAGTAATATTTGATATATCACACTCACATTACAAATCCACAGAAATCTGATGTCAGAAGTAATTTAGGGTGAACACTATAAATATCTAAAACTTATTTTATCCAAATAATTGAACCATAAATGAATTGTGAATGTGCACTGTGACATTAAAATCCCGTAAATGTTAATGTATCTGTTTTCAAAAAGTATTTCTGATTTAAATCCACAATTTTATAGCCTGTACTTGAAAGATAATTTTTCTCTCTGTTTAGGTATTTCTGAGCCCAAAACTTTAAATTGGGCAAAGAATTATAATGTAAAGATAGTTATTTCCAAGGTTGTAATGCAATGGGGAAGTAGGCAGTTTTGTCGATATCAATATTTTTGTTAGAAAATACTATTTTATTCGGTTTTTTTTCATATTCTCTATTTTTTATTACCTTAAATCAAGAACTACACAAATGTTAAGACCCAAAAAAGGATAATCGGTAGATTCGTTCAACGATACTCTTTTGAATTTCGGGCTCTGTGGACAAAGAACATTTATTAACTAACAGTACGATATATACTGTCATCCATGACTACACTAACTAAATATTAGAAAACAATTAACAATTGTCAGTCACTTATAGACAGGGAAACCCAAAAAGTATAAGATTTTAATGCCGACCTGAAACTCTTGAAATATAATGATAAAAAGGTTGAATTTAGACTTTTGTCTGTAATTTTGGTTTTATTAAGGTAAATTGCATGATCTGTCAAAGATAGAAACAATTGTGTGTATTTATTTATGTTTATTTATGAGAAAAGAGTAAACAAATTCCGAACACTCGTTTTTAAAGTCTCATCCTTTGTGGATAACCCTGTATCTTTCTCCATGAAAACTAGCTTTTCGATTGAAGTCAACGTCAGAAATGGAGTCTGTGAAAAGAAATAAAAGTTTACGTAAAGCTCGTTCGTTCTACGCTCTAAATAAGAAATTTCAGGAAAAATTTAATATTCTGTAATACAGATTAATGTATTTCAGTCTTTGACATTAAATCAAATATGATTTGGAACCCTCAATTTGACTAGATAATATTTTCTCTCTTTTTTCACAAAACTTTATACAAAGTTACTCCTGTATTATGGATTTCAAGGTTTCGCTTATGAAACGGAAGTTTATAAAAGTTTCTTGCAGAACATAAAAAAATAATCGTTAATGCCTCGTTAACGTTTGACACTGTTAATTATTTCTAAAATATTTTCCATTAACGCCGTTAATAATATTGAGATTGTTAACGAAAGGTAAAAATAACGAACGTACCGTTCTTCGCTAAATAACAAACGGCTACCTAGCGAACGGCTTAAACTAATTGTTAAAGAACGTTTTAAAAAGTCAGAACATGCCCAGCCATATTCAAGACAAGGAAACACTGAAGCTGTTTTTAATTTTTTCAAATTTTTGTTCAGAGTTTGGTTCACTTTAACAACCTGTGTTTGCCTGATATAATGAATGATATTGTATCTCATGGTGTTCATGATCCAGAGGAGTTTCCATTCCTAGAGGAACTTCATGTTCTACGCAGACTCAAGGTAGACCTTGTACACTGCGCAAGTGCACAAGTGCGCATGCGCATTTTAATAAAGTTTAGATTTCTAAATGTATTTTTTTCCTTCCTGATTTTGATGTTTTATTTGATTTTGTTGTTGAATGAAATTTTTTAATTGTCGTTTTTGGGCTTCAATCTTATTTTCACTACAGTGGTCGGTGATTATATCAATACAATGAAGACAACTTTTTATTAATAATAATTTGATCGCTAACAAGAATTTTTGAATTACAAGTTTACAAGTAAACAAAGATAAGATATTAATTAAAAACTTCTCTTTCTTTAAATATTTAAGTGTTCTGACGTTTGAAAGTTTGCAGAAAATAAAAATTGAAATAAGATTTTGTCTTCATTGCATTGAGATAAAAGACGACGACTGTAAACAACGAATATTTGAAAATATCAAACTTATCAGAATCATTTCGAAATCCCATTTAAAAATTCTCTATATCTATATCTCTATCATCTATATTGAAGAGTAATTTAGTAAAGATTTCGAAGATGGACAAAATGTTAGAGGTTTATTACAAAACGCTCCCCCCCCCCCCTGTATAGGGTTAAATTGAAAATAATTCTGCAGAATGGTTTTGATATTTGTTAAATACGTTTCAGGTTATCTATTAAATTATTATTATTATTAGTTAGAATTATTTATCATGTTTTCTTAACAACAATTATACTTAAACTTCCCTTGACCAGGGGTTGATATAAGGGTGAGCATTGAAGTAATGACTCACCCCTGGAAAATTACATTCCTCCCTCTAAAGCTACGGAAAATGGAAATGAAATTCTAAGAATTGGCTCACCCCTAGTAAATTCAGCTGTATCCATCACATGCCATCAAAAGCGTTTTTAGTCCTAATACTTCACCTCAACAACTTGATATTAGTAAACAAATCGCTAACGTACTGCAGGCAACCTTGTACACAGTACAGAATTGGGTAGAGAGTCGATCAGCTGAGTATATTCAATCCTGGAGGGTTGGAGACTTCTTTATAATTAATCATGCAGATCTTGCCAGGATATATCCTTCATTCGACCTTTTACAGGTAATTTACAGTTAAACCATAAATAAGCCATACATCGAAAGAATTTATCAAATGTCGTCTTGACAATTTTTCGATGGCTTCTTTACTATTTTACTTAAACCTCAGTATTTGCGAAAATAAATAAATAGCCTATGAATATGCGGGAATAGTTTTAAAGAACTCCATGTTATAATCCTTAAATCAAAAAACTAAATATTTGCAACATTCCTATCAGAGAGTGAAGAATACGGCATTTGATGAATTCTTTCGATGTAAGGCTTATTTAGGGCTTAACTGTACAACAACAATAACAATAATAATAATAATAATAATTTTAACATTACTAACTAGCTGAAATTTCAGTCCATTCGGTCCAGCCGTTTGGCCGCCTATACGCAACATATGTATATACGAATGTCTTGTTCTATTATATAGATAATAATGATACTACTACTACTACTACTACTACTACTACTACTCCTACTACTAAATAATAATAATAATAATAATAATATTAATAATAATTGTAATACAAATAATAATCATAACAATAATGACCGAGTACCCTCTCTAACTCTACTTCTATATATGATATAAAATAACTCTAGATATGCTGGCATGACCGAGTAGCCCCTCTAATTCTACTTCTATAAATGATATAAAATAACTCTAGATATGCGGGCATGACCGAGTAGCCCCTCTAACTCTACTTCTATAAATGATATAAAATAACTCTAGATATGCGGGCATGACCGAGTAGCTGCGTCTAACTCTACTTCTATAAATGATATAAAATAACTCTAGATATGCGGGCATGACCGAGTAGCTGCGTCTAACTCTACTTCTATAAATGATATAAAATAACTCTAGATATGCGGGCATGACCGAGTAGCTGCGTCTAACTCTACTTCTATAAATGATATAAAATAACTCTAGATATGCGGGCATGACCGAGTAGCTGCGTCTAACTCTACTTCTATAAATGATATAAAATAACTCTAGATATGCGGGCATGACCGAGTAGCTGCGTCTTACTCTACTTCTATAAATGATATAAAATAACTCTAGATATGCGGGCATGACCGAGTAGCTGCGTCTTACTCTACTTCTATAAATGATATAAAATAACTCTAGATATGCGGGCATGACCGAGTAGCTGCGTCTTACTCTACTTCTATAAATGATATAAAATAACTCTAGATATGCGGGCATGACCGAGTAGCTGCGTCTAACTCTACTTCTATAAAGCTGTTTACTCATGTACAGCAGGCTATAGCTCTACAGATATATACCGTGCAGCAGAAAATAAAGGTACTTTTATCACACAGATTTTATACATCACATGTTTGAGGGGAGACAATTCTGAAAAAGTAAGCTTTAATATTGTATTTCATAAACATATGTCAAGCATTACAGAGATTATATCAGATCTAAAAGCATTAAATATATTTACAATAAAAATTGTCTATTTATTTATTTATTTACACATTTACACATTTTTTAGAGATTTGTTTACTTTAAAATATTCTGAAAACTTTCCCGAGCAATCCATTTAATTTCTTAGCTGAGAAATGCAATTGCAGGGGCTTAATTGAAATTCTGCAGAACTGAAAGATTATTTATAATGAAAAAAAAGGTTTAGGATGAACTTCAATCAAATAATAATTATTTTATGAATTTATACTACTCCCTTTATACTTTTTGTGATATCTATAACATTTAATACATTTTTGGAAAGCCTTTGGGCTCTACTTTGATAATCTGCAGAAAAAATAGCAAATTTGCAAAATTTCAAAAATTTATTGCTATATCAATTTATTATGCAAAAATGTGCACATAAACGTGCGCGAATTATAATATGTAACAATGTAGACGACTGTAGATTTTAATTTTGATTTAAATCAAGCTGAATACACCCTAACATACAAGTCAAGAGAAGCTGTCAATTAAAAAAACTTCCATTTGATTAATTTTATATTTGTATTCGAAAAAAGCTTGTTATTAATCAACATTTAAATAAAAAAGTCGTCTTCATTGTATTTTTATAATCGCCTAACACGGGGAATTCAAATATGCCAAAGTATGCAATATTTTTATTCAAAGAAAACTGAAAATGTGGAAATTCTTTTTTAAGACACCTGTGCAAAAATCTATGCAAATTTTTTTCGCACAAATTGTGCAATCTGCCTTTTTTTGTTCAAGGCTTTCCAAAGAGATGTCAAAATTCAATGACCGAAAGTAGGTCTAAAGATTGATTAAGTCTGGTAAAGGTAAAACAGGCATTAAGACAGTATACCTAAGGACCGAGGCAGTAGTTATAAAGCCCCGCTTTGGGCCTAACATGAGGGGCATGTTTTAGTTAGAAAAGTAAAAAATTGGAACAGCCTCAGACCAATACTTTTTTTGTTATCCTGAAAAACGTCAGGGTGGGGTGGGGTCCCTTTCACGCCCCTCCCCCCCTAAAGCATCAAACACAATTTGTCCCACAAAACATTTGAAAATTGGTTCAATCGCTGAAATCCAACTATTTAGGTAAAAATTGTTTGCCTTAAACCGCTAGGTGTTACATTTATAAAAAATTATTTGGTAAATATATGTGCGTCTCTCATGTATGCCGAGTCCATTAGCGCCTGATCCAATCAGGGTTCAGTGATGTGTTTGTTGTCTATTCTGAACCAATGAAATTGCATGCCGGTAACATCTATCTTTCTATCTATCTCATCACCCAATCAGATTATGAATCCTTCAATCGGCGTTATCAGCGTGTTGCTCTCATAGCCCCCCCCCCCCCCCCCCGTATACGCCTCTGACAATACCTCTGTTTCTAGAATCTACCTGAAGAAGAGAACGAGAATATGTGCCGTGTTTGCAGAACATTTAGTTTAGCGTGTTTACAAAATGTCTTCCCTCCACAAAAACATTGGAATAAGTAATATTTGAAATAATAATTTGCATACAGTGAAACCCATAAAACTATAATATGCATACTTGCATAATTGCAATATTTTGTATTTATTTGACTAAATTCAACAATATATTCCACAGCGCGTGTTATATGCCCAACTTTTTCTTTAATTAAGCACAGAAAGAAATAAAGAAATAAAGAAATAAAACCTAGAGTGAACTTTTCCTCTCTATATAAAGTGTTGTTAATCATTTTCATCGTTTAAAAACAGGCTTAGTAAAACTTTCAAGATGTTTCAATTTGCTTTTATTAACAAAAAATTGAAAAAAAAAGATCCAACAAAGATCATTTCAACATAATTGCTTTTTGCATGGTTTTCGGGCCGTTTTTTTGCATATACAAGATGTCTCTGAAAAAAGAGTGTTTAAGCTTTTTGGCCTATTAAACATCATTGTTTTGTTTTAAAAAGTGCTTTCAGTAGGTGCAATACCATAATGGGGGGGATCAAGGTCAAGTCAAGGTCAAGTCAAGGTCAAGTCAAGGTCAAGTCAAGGTCAAGTCAAGGTCAAGTCAAGGTCAAGTCAAGGTCAAGTCAAGGTAACTGAATGATGTTTAGACCCTCTGTGACTCTTGGCTGGAGCATATTTATCAGAAGAAGATAAAGTTTAGTGAAGGAGGAGCTAAACAATTGGCTTTGGATTTCTCATTTCTGAGGTAAACAAAATGAAATAAGATTAATGAAAATCCATTAAAAATAAATTGTACAATTTGACAGAAAATGTGCCGTTTTACTTTAGATTGATGAAACTAACTAAGGTCCTTTTTGGATAAAAATGCTCAAATTCATTTCTTAATCTTTCATCAGTTTTTTCATACAATTAAAAATATGAGAACTCTTTTTTCTCAATTTCATTTAGATTCTTGTTTTTTGTTGTGTAGATTAAAACACTAATTTAAGCAAGAAAAAAAATCTTCAAAATCAAGCAAGATGGGAAGCATAAAAACACAAATAAAATTACAAAAGAAAAGATGAAAATTAACATATATGGAAAATTTTTTTCCACTGATGGGGTTATTTCGTAATTTTTTTTGGAATTGATAAATGTAACAAATATTAATTTTTTTCTGAAAAAATAATATTTATTTGTTTAGAAAATGGATTGATGATAGTACACATTTAAGAGAAGAATCAAAAAGGTATTTGTAGTCATAAAATACCAAATCATATATGCAGTGATGGCTGGGGGAGGGCCTCCACCTCCCTTGAAAACTAGGATGCCACCGCCCCCAAAACCTCCATGCTCCCTTGAAAACTAGGATGCCCCCGCGCCCCAGAAAAGTTTGGGGCACAATTAGAGCGAGGAGGAACCTTGCAGTCCCTTTTATTTAATTTTCAACAATGAATTAAAAGAAATATCCCTTGGGGGCAACTTAATCAGGGGAAATCAGCCATTATTTTTTATTTAATAATCGTTCTCTTCTATCAGGGGAAATTTGAAGGACCACATTTCCTCCTCCCGCCCCTGACCGTGTGAGGGGTTCCATTCCCTGCAAAAAATATCGTAAGCCGCGTAAGCTGCATAAATTTTAAATATATTTACACACCAATTTTGGTCTTTTCTTTGTTTGTTATGATTTTAAGTTGTTATGAAAATATAGAAGTAAATATAGTTTCTAATTCATTTTGATTTTCATTTTAAAAAAAGCTTTCAACATTTCAGTAAAAAGCTCTCTGTTTGTTATGCTTGAAAAAATTAAATTGATCTTATTATCTAAGGGCAAAATGTTTTAGAATTTCAATAATTTTCATGATAGCTAAATTCTCTTATTCTACAAACTCTACAGACACATACAGACTTTAAAAACATAAGCTCTATGTACCTACTACTACTAATATAAAGTACTACTTTAGGTACCTTCTTCTTCTAAAAACCCTACTCTAGATACCTACTACTACTATATAAACCCAACTCTAGGTACCTACTACAATACTGTAAAGTATAAACCCTACTCCAGGTACCTAATACTTCTATGGAGTATAAACCCTACTCTAGGTACCTACTACTACTATAAACCCTACTCTAGGTACCTAATAATTCTATGGAGTATAAACCCTACTCTATGTACCTACTACTACTATAAACCCTACTCTATGTACTTAATACTGCAATAAAGTATAAACCCTACTTTATACTCTAGGTACCTACTACTTCTATATACCCTACTCTAGGTACCTACTACTAATATAAACCCTACTCTAGGTACCTACTACTTCTATATACTCTACTCTAGGTACCTACTACTTCTATAAACCCTACTCTAGGTACCTACTACTGCTATAAACCCTACTCTAGGTACCTACTACTTCTATAAACCCTACTCTAGGTACCCACTTCTGCTAAAAGCCCTACTCTAGGTACCTACTACTTCTATAAACCCTACTCTAGGTACCTACTACTACTATAAACCCTACTCTAGGTACCTACTACTTCTATATACTCTACTCCAGGTACCTACTACTTCTATATACTCTACTCTAGGTACCTACTACTACTGGACTCTATCCGGCAATGTGAGGGAGTAGCTCAGCTGCTGCAGAAGAGTAGTGGGAAGGAGGTTCCTGTTAAACCTAATAAAGGGAATAAGATTGCTCCAGAAGGTGATATATTATATATATATATATATATATAGTATATATATATATATATATATATGTATATTACAACCAGATAAACAAGTTGCGTTGCCGCAAGTCTATGTTTGTGAGTAAATTGCTGGATGGAGGCTATACGGGTTATAAATAACGACCACATGCTTTTGAAAATAATGAAGATTTTCGTTATTTTTTCTGCTTAAAATTGGCTGAAACCTACCGAAAATAAAGAATAGAGTTTTCTTTTAAAGTTTTGATGTTTTTTTATGTAATTCGTCCTGCTGTTTTCTCCTGAAAAAAATGTATTAGCCAACGACTCGTTAAGGGCTGGCGCCATTAATAATTTCTAAAATATTTTGAGTTAACATCTTTATTTTTATTGAGATTGATGCGAAATGTGTGCACGTCCGTACGTATTTATTCCATGAACAAAAGAAAGAGGTTTAAAAGACGACATTTGAACTTGTATTTAATCAGATGAGGTGGTGGAAGACGACTCACCTGTTGCTCATATCTTAGAGGTAAAGTAATTGTAAACAGTTATGTTAAAATTTAAAAAGAAATAATAATTACAATTTATAATAATAATAATAATAATTATAAACACATTTTGTATATTTTAGTTACTATATTATTGTCCATTTATCTCATGGGAAAAAAATAATTAGAAAAAATTTTTTTTCAGAGAATTAATTGTAATTGTAATAATCAAATGTTTTTTTTCAAATAACATGCTATTGTAAGTGCATTTATTCAGGGGTACCCAGAATTTATACTTTTTCCTTATATTTATCACTCTCGGCAACTGTAAACAGAGTCGCACTTAGGGGGGGGGGGGGCTTTTGTAGCTAAGCCCCATCTAACCCTGGTCAGGGAAATCTATGGTTTTCAGTTATTTTTGGGGTCCCAACGGGTTCTGAGCCCCCCTCCTTCCTGGAAAAAAGAGTAACAAAGACCTTGAGTTTTTGCCACAAACTCTGATTTTCTAATCCCTATTTTTTGCAACCCAATGTCATAGACCTAAGATATATCAAACTATAAATTCTGTTAGATAAAATGATTTAAGTTTAAAATATCAAAGGTTTACATCGTCAGGTTGCACGGATATACGAATCATAAAGTTGTTTCAAAGATTCAGTTTCTTTGTTCGAACTATAGGGTGTCCCAATAAACATGGGAATTCAATGACGAATTCGATATCGTCTTTTCAAATGATTCTTTGATATAAACTGTTTTTGTTTCAGAACTGGTTCGAATTCTAGTGGTGGTATGAGTCTTCCTTTCTGCTGTTGAAGAAACAAAGAAAACGTGGTTTTTACTGTCGTCGTCACATTTATCAATACAATGAAGACGACTTTCGATTTAAATTTTGAACTATATCAAGCTGTTAAACAGGATGGATATACAGGGTGTCCCACGAAACATGACAGTTGATGAATAGTTTAGAATGTCTTCTTCCATAATTTGTTAAGTTGTTTAATACCAAAGACAATAATAAAAATATTAAATAGGGGTCATATTATAGTAAAATTAACTTCAAAGTAAAATATATTTGAGCAAAAGATTTTTTAAACGAAATAAACTGCAAACAGCTTTTAATATCTAAGACAGTGCATGGAAGACGACATTCAAAACTATTTACCAACTGTCATGTTACGTGGGACACCCTGGACGTAACAATAGAAGTCATGGAGAAGCTGCCAATTAGAAAGCTTCCCGTCGATTACTTGTAAACTTGTAAATTGAAAAATTAATAATCAAAACTTACTAAAAAAGTCCTTTTCATTTTATTGATACAATTTCCTACCAACAAAACAAGACAACACTCGGAATCTTGTTTTTATTCGATTTTCCACATAACATTATTATTGATGAGAACGGGTAGTAAAATGAATTAAATTGATTGGTTTTTGGCATTTTTTTACTCTCAGGGTCAAAATTTGGGAAAGCTAAAAACATTTTCCTTAAATTACTTTTTCTTAAAAATTAGTTTTTAGTTTGCCTAATGTTGATCCTATGATAAAATATATGCAAAAAACGAGCCATCAATGATCCTAAGACGAACGAGCTAATAAAGGGAAGAAAAAATACATTTCAAAACTTTTGTAATCTACATTTGTCATTACAGGCCAAATTAGATCCCACTAGAAGGAATAGAATAAAAAACCTGACAATTTTTTATTTCGAAAGTTAAGACTAGCAAAATGACTGATTTAAAACTTACAGGGTAATAAGTTAATTTGGTAAATTTTTTTTTATGGACAAGACAAGTTCGAGACGTTCAGAGAGTTCCAGAAATTAATTTAGATTTTGGAAAGGTTCTTACACATCACATTACTAGAAGGGTATCATTCAATTGGCGTACCGTCCTGTTTTGCCTCAACTAGTCTGTATTGTACTGTACTGCTTGCCCTGGCCAGTTGAAATTCGGCCCGGTACATGAAATGAACTGGAATGTGACCTGACTAATTCAGGGAGGTTTTCAATTATCAATCTCTTCGTATCACAATCATGATTAAAAACATGGCTTAAAATAGATGTCGTCTTTAACCAAAACTCAAAAGGCAAACAGCATTAAATTGATTATTAAATAACAAATATGCAACGGATTATTATATTTAATTCTGTCGATTAAAAATTTCATATTTGGGACCGTTAATGAAAATTGAGACAGGAAATGAAAAGTGACGCGATATGAAATAAATGACTAGCATGAAAATAAAAGATTACTGCTTGAAAATAAATGAACAATTACATTATTGGGACAGAAACTGAATCTCTAATTAGTACGACAAAAATTGAAATTTGAAATTGGGAAAAATTAAGGGACTTAAGGATTGAAAATAAAAAACCTTGATTTTGTAAATTATCTTATGGTTTTTTGTTTGTTTCACTTTCCATCAAAAAAGTTCAATTTCATCCCGAAAAAAAACCCATGAAAAATATTTTCTTCTGATCGTTGATTGCTTTTTTGTCCCACTGATTTCATTTGTCGTCCCAAAAAATCATGTTTAGTCCCAAAACTTTGAAAACTTTTCAAATTCCTTGTCTATTTTTCATTCTTCACAAAAATTTCATCAAATGCGTTCTAAAAATTCAATTTTCAATCGCAACAACAAAACATATTACTAGACAGAAGGAAAATAATATTGTCACTGTGAACTAGACAGAAGGAAAATAATGTTGTCACTGTGAACTAGACAGAAGTAAAATAATGTTGTCACTGTGTACTAGACAGAAGGAAACCTTTTTTGCCAATAATGACATTTTACAATCACAATTATTATCAATGATAAATTAAAATCCTAATCTTCAAGGTGCTGCCAACGTAATTTCAAGTGACCCTCCATTTAAAGAATTAATTCCCAGATTCCACTTTATCTGATCTATCGGGAAACTAACTCTTTGTACCGCCTTGTGACCCGCATTACCGACCTATGATTCCCCCAACAGAGGAAGGTTAGGTTACTTAAATTCCCTTGGGACAGTTATGTAAAATAACCACCCGCTCTGCGAAGTTTTTAGGAAAGAATTCGCGCATTTTCATCTCAAAAGACGATCTACTTTTTCGGGAAATTAAAAATTTTACTTAACCACGGGTTCCCTCGACCAATTTTGTCTACAAAACATCCCTCGCTGCGCTCTCCCTTAACTTCCCTGTAAAGAAGTTGTAAATAATTAAAACTAAGATTTGGTTTAATGTACGTCTACAATACCTTTAAAAATATTCATTCTTTGACGTTGTTAAAAACTTAGAAAGTGTGTAAAATGTTATCATTTGATTGACCATATTGTACAATATATAGATACCTTACAAACGTTGTTTTTTAAATATATCTTCAAAGAGAGTGTTCAATTATTTGTGTAATGTGAAGGGTATTAATAATTAAAAACAAAAATATTAATAAAGGTGTACGTGTAGTAAATGCCCCACTCCATAACGGTTTCTCAAACACACATCTCTCCAGGTATAGGGTTTCCAGTCGAAATTTTTTGCACAAAAATTGTGCAAAAATTGCGCAAAGATTTTCTTACATTTCGAGTAAAAATTGCACAAAATTTCTATGTTTTTGCGCATAAGCTATTTCACGCAAATTCGGAAGAAAATCTTGGTATTTGCGTATTTCGTTATTTCCTGCTTTTTCGTTATTTTGAGATATTTTGTTATTTCGTTATTTCCAGCTATTTCGTTGTTTCGTTTATACAAAACATGTTTATCATAACAAATTTTATTAGTGAAAGTAACCAACATTTTAACAGTGTCTAAACTATGAATATTCAAATAATTTGTAACTACATATTGTTGATAAATAAAATACTGCTATGTTAGTTGTTTTTTACTGAAACTAATTCACAGCAGACTGTCCAAAGAGTTCAAATATTAAAATCCTTCATATATAATATATGCACTATACCTTAGTTATTAATTAATAGGGATAATCTATATGGCATCCAACAAATATTACTTAATTTTGTATTCATGCAGCCCAAAAATTCCAATTTTTCGTATTCATGGGCATTAAACAATTTACATGGAAAAATGACCTGTATTCATGCGCAATATCATGAAAAGATTCTGACTTAAATTTCGTATTCATGCAAAATTTTGTGCAAAAAAATTTTTTATTTCGAATGAATGCGCAATCTTGTGCAAAACTGGTTTCGTATTGATACGAAAATGATGCGAAATTTTGTGCAAAAAAGTAATTTTGTGAAAAACCACGAAACTGCTGCGCAAGAGAATCAACTGTTTCGTGGAAACCCTATCCAGGTACAACTGAGATTCTCTTGATTATCAATGTCAACACACGGCACTATTCCGTAAACTATCAACGCCACTATACAGGGCGCGATCTTGTTAGCTATCAATGTCAAAACAGACACTGTGAACTATCAATGCCACTACCACTGGGCGCAATCTCGTAAACTATCAATGTCTCAACTAGGACACAATCTTGAGCTATCCATGCCTCAACTAGGACACGATCTCGAAAGCTATCAATGTCTCAACTAGGAACAATCTTCAGCTATCAATGCCTCAACTAGGACATATTCTCGTAAACTATCAATGTCTCAACTAGGACATTATCTTGAGCTATCAACGCCTCAACTAGGAGACGCTCTCGTAAACTATCAATTTCTCAACTAGGACATGATCCTCAACCTGTTTATTAAAACAGGAAACGATTGCTCTCTTGCAGTAAACAGTGAGGAGTTTCTGTGTCAACTAACTATATTTCTTCAGTTTTGGATTTGAATTGGGTCTTAAAGGGGGTGTTCGCGAAAAATAAAAGGGGGGTATAGGCTTTATGCGATAAAAAAGCGCTTTTGATCGCTACTAATCTTACTTCTATCTGTTGCGTCTATAAGGAGAAAATTGTTAAAGACGTCTCATAACGAATAACTTAGCGCCCATATAAATTCAGAAAATTGCAACATACAACTTAGACCGTAAAAAATGAATTTAATTTCAAGCAAATCATTCAGATATTACAACCTATAGTCATCGATTATCTTTCGCCACA